ATATTTAGCTTACTTTATAAAATTAAACTAACTATAGAAACACAAAATGAACATTGAAATACATATGGATTTCTATGAATATTTTAAGGTTTCATTTGCTATTACAGTGCTTGTGAGCAATCAAATGTCCAACACTACAGGGGGGAACCATTTCTTAGTAGGAAAGAACAAAAACAGTTTTACTGAAGATTTGCATCTCAATTTCCTTCAAGGAAAGATTCTCAATGCAATTATGAAAATCAGGAAAAGTATTTATAATCTATATACACCCCACCTTACAGACAATATTAGAGTTTGTTGCTTATGATGACTTAAATTTCTGCTCAGATTGCTGGGAATGATTTTTACTTCTACAATATTTTATTTCAACTTGTACCCTATCATTGCTACAAATAAAATATTATCTATCATCTATCTATCTATCTTTCAATCTATCTATCTATGGCATCTGTTTTAATGAGTCTAAACTACTATAATAAAATATCAGGCATTACGTGGTTTGAACCACAGAAATCCATTTTTTCTCTGTTATCCACGATGCATATTTGAAACTAGGGTGCCCATGTGGTTGAGTTCTGGTGAGGATTTCTTTTTTTTTATATCATTTTTTATTTTAATTTTAAATAGCTTCTTTTACATGTCAATCCCAGTTCCCTCTCCCTCCCCTCCTCCCGCACTCCCCTTCCCCCCCAGCCTCCCACCCTATTGCCAATTCCTTCCACATAGGGGATATCTAGAGTCTGTCATTTCACTCCGGGTAGGGTCCAGGCATTCCCCTAAGAGTCCAGACTGAGAGAGCATCCCTCTTTGTGCTATGGGCACACGATGACTGTTTGTATTCCAGGGATAGACACTGATCCACTGCTCAAGGCCCCATAGGTTGCCCAGGCCTTCTCACTGACACTCACATTTGGGGGGGTCCAGATCAGTCCCATGTTAGCCTCCCCGCTGTCAGTCTGGGGTCCAAGAGCTCTTCCCTGTTCAGATCAGCTGTCTCTGCTGGTTTTGCCAGCCCATTCTTTGCCAATTTGCTCATCACTCCTCTCTCTCTGTCACTGGGTTCCTTGGGTTCAGTTCAGTGATTAATTGTGTGTTTGCCTCTGCTTCCATCAGTCACTGGATGAAGGCTCCCAGATGGTTATAGACATCAAGTTCATTATCAGGAATGGGCATTCGAGGTGGTCTCTCCACTATTGCTTAGCTTGCCAATTGGTGTTATCCCTTTAGATCACTAGAGGTCACTCTGGTGCCTGATCTGTCTTCTAACCTATGATTCCCTCTTCCCCCCTATTTTACCCCCAACCACTCAACTTCCTGTACCCCCATGACCTACTCTCTTGGATGGTCGAATATGGTTTCTTATTATGTGCTCATGTGCTCTCTGCTTTTTGAATAAGCAGAGAGGAAGAGTACTGCTGGCCTTGTCTTTTCTTATAAAATCACCAATCCCTCCATCAAATCTAACCTCCATGAACCCATCTAACAAGATTATATATCCAAATACCAGCACACTGGTTTCAGAGTATGAATTTGGAGAGATAAAACTCAGTACCCAAACCCCATCAATTTCTGATAGGAAGGTAGGTTATTTTTCAAACGCACTGCTGTTTTCTTCAAGACATCTCTTATAATCTAAAGGGTTGTCCCCATCTTCCTGAAGTAAAAGACATGAATATATTGATGAAAAACTAAGTTGAATATAAGTTTAAATAATTTATTTCAGACAAGACTTTTAGTTATTATTTAAAAACCTCACCCAAATGTTGTCTAGGCTCATAGACATCACATCACAGTGTTCTTAATTCTAATACAACAGTTTGAGTAAATTGTAAATGAAATTATTTCTTTGTTTTCCTTTTTTATTTTAATTAGAAACAAGCTAGCTTAACATGTCAATCCCAGGGCCCTCTCCCTCCTCCCCCAACCCTCCAAACCTCCCACCCCATCCCTATACCCAGGGAGGATGAATCCTTCCATGGGGGAATCTTCAAAGTCTGTCATAACATCCCAGTCATGGCCTAGGCCCTCTACCATGTGTCCAGGCTGAGAGAGCATCCCTTCATGTGGAATGGGCTCCCAAAGTCCATTTTTATGCCAGGGATAAATACTGATCTACTTTCCAAGGCCCTATATATTTCCGAGGCCTCTTCACTGACACCCATATTCAGGGGGTCTGGATCAGTCCCATGCTGGCCTCTCAGTCACCAGTTTGAAGTCTTTAGCACAAAATTACATCATGTTATATTGTAGAGAGGGTAATTTTAAGAAGAGAATAAAATTTCATTCATTTATTTTTTACTGTGCATCTCTAAATGTAAGCATGTACATCTACACTTCTCAACATATGTGAACTGTGGTAGAATATTATTTTAAGTTGTGTGACTTTTGTTTATGCTGCATTTGTTTAACTCAGTGAAGTTGTGATTCTTAGCTATATACCTAATGGTCTAATAAAGAGCTGAACAGTGAATTGTGAGGCAGGAACAAGGATGGGTGGGCTGGCAGAAAGAGAGGGTAAATAAAAGGAGCAAGAGAACAAGGGGAGCAGGATATCAGGGGCCAGCTACTCAGCCATCCAGATAGCTGTAAAGCAAGAAGGAAAGAAAGGTGTACAGCAATAATAAAGTTAAAAGCATAGAGAAAAACTGGCTAGAAACAAGTCAAGCTACCCGTCCCTGAGGTGCTACTGGCAGTGAATGGTTTTCTGAGGGAGAGGGTGCCAGTTTTTTTCACTGCTGTATGTGATGATATATTGTTTATGGCCTATTAAAGCTTGCCTGAGAGTTCAGAAAGCAAAGTTAGCCACAAACCATAGAAGCCAGGCACACAGTTAATCCCAGGAGCAAGAAGCTAAGAGGTGGTGGTATATACCTTTAATCCGAGGACTCAGGATTAAGAGGTAGACAGATCTCTGTGAGTCCAAGGCCACCTAGATCTACACAAGATTGATCCAGTCCTAAAGAGAAACAGCTCATGTCTTTGATCCCAGCACCTAGGATCACATGCCTATAATCCCAGAACTAGGAAGGTATGTAGGACAGGAGCAAGGTCTCAGTATCAGGCACTCATTCTCCAGCCCAGTTGAGAATAGGAATGCCCTAGCCCTTTTAGAAGTATGAGCTCTCTAGTAGCTTGGCTGCTTTGCTTACCTGATCTTCAGATTGAACCCCAATATCTGTGTGTGGGTCCTTTATTTTATTGTGTTACAGCTGTAGTTATTGGTAATCTGCCATTGCTCCAATAAATAACTTCCCACCCATGTTGAGGAAAGAAGGTAATTAAGCTTAATGATCCTCACATGCAATAAAAGACATGCAATAGGGGTTTGCTGGGAAGAAAGATTTCAGAAAAATATCTGATACAGATGAGAAAAAGAAATGGGTAGGATAAAAATGACAAAAATCTGCAAATTGGGGCTAAACAAATAATATGCTGATTTCATATTGTAATCATTAACACATTTTGATTTTGGAAATGGGCATTGATATAGGTCCAACAAAGAATTACAAAGAACTACAGTGTCATGTAATAAACAGTATATCAAAACACACCAATAGTTCTAAAGAAATTGAGCAGTTCCTACCTTACAAGTATACAGCTATTAGCCCTTTGATAAGGATTATCTATCTAATCCCAAAGATGGGCAGGCATGTTATTGTGTTCTTTGAGCTCAACATCATTCTTGATGTGTTTTTCAAAATGATAGCAGGATATCTTAGAAAGAAAGCAGGGGAAGTGGGAGTGAGTGTTCACATTGCTATTCTACTTATTTTGCTTTTAGTGGGAAAATTCGTTTGTGATTGCTCTGAGAGTGCCTTTTAACTTGGAAAGTACTGTCTTTCAAGGAGTAAGAAACACTATTCATGGGAATAATTTGAAAGAATTACACATTGTCTTCTACTAGCCAAAAAGGGATTGTGACAACTGTGCATTTTGAATAAAGACACAGAGTAGAGATACAGTAACTAAGATTTCTGAAATTGCCTTTGATGAAATCTCTCCTTGTGCTAGTTGAAAATTTTTCACCAGGAAATGAAATATGGTAAATTTAGAGATCAAAAAGTTGTGTCCATTTCAAATTACCAAGAAAATTCAATTGCTAGAAAGAAAAGCAAATGTATTTTACTTCTTTCCTTATCAACATACCTAGGAGACCATATAACATTTATACAGTAAAAATGAGATATCAACTAAAAGTTTGGTATTAATTATTTGTATAAAATAAAAACATGGTCCAAAAGTGATAAATTCAGCTTAGAAAATTAATTGTAATTTTAAAAGCTGAAACAAAAGATTCAGTATGACAAGTATTCAAGCCTTGACCTGCATCTTAGCTTTATCCTAAAATAAACATAACAGTACCTTTTTAAAAGTAGCAGTTATTAGGATTAAATGTGTACATAAAATTTAAAATATATTTTAAATAATAAATATTTAGTATATTCTAATTAGTATAAAATTTTAAGACAAGGGAGCAGATGTGCCAAATACAAAAATGTATTTCTTTTTTTTCTCCATATATTTTTTTAATTTTTATTTTTATAATTAAATTAGAAACAAGGTTGCTTCACATGTCAATCCCAAGTCCGTCTCCCTTTCCCTCCCCTCTACCCATGCCCACCCACCAACCCCCCCCAATATCCCTCATTTTCCTAGGGAGGGTGAGGCCCTCCATGGGGGTATCCATAGTCTGTCATTTCATCCAGGGCAGGGCCTAGACCCTCCCACAAGAGTCCAGGCTGAGAGTACATCTCTCATTGTTGGACAACCAAGTGATTACTTATATTAAAGATGATTAAAGCCAACATCTTTTACATGATATATTATTGTTTTTAAATTGTTCTTCAATTTCTATTAGTCATACATTTCTCCTTCATTTACTGTGAAGTAAATGGAGTTTTATGAACTCATTCTTAATGCATGAGTTGAATAGATAAAACCTCAAATGCCAGTAAACTCATAGGAAAAGGTAGATAATCAGATTGTTTTATTTGTTTCAGATTTTCAGACGATGCTGGTTGGTCTTTAAGAAGGCTTCTAGCAAGGGACCCAGAAGGCTGGAAAAATTTCCAGATGAAAAAGCAGCTTACTTCCGAAACTTTCACAAGGTAAGTCACAAGTGCAGAGGTCCATGGGGAACAGCTAGGCTCTTGACAACTTGTGGAGACATTTCTCTGATGGATGACATCTACAGAGGGAAAAATTCATGGTCAGGATAAAATGCTCCCGTTCTGATAAAATGCAAAAGTTATTTTTCTTCCTTATCTTAATCATCTGCTGTAAATCCCAGCTATACTTCTGCAAAATGAAAAGCTCATTTTTATGGTGGCTTTGCAAAATTAGATGAGTCATAACTCAACTAGATCCATTCTTAGGTGCTGAGCGGGCACTTTTCCTCTGTTCAGGTTAATTGTGCATTTGCTACTCTGAATTAAACTATAGGCAGTATTTAGGAGATGACATTTATCAAACAAGCTTTATCAGTGTTAATGACACTGTTAATGTAGATAGCATTAGCTGTTTACTCAGCATATTAACAAGAAATAATCACTAAATATGCTGGTAGGTAGATGCTACATAAATTTCAGGAGTGAATAACTAAAAGAATATAGAAATAGCCATAGACATATGGCCTGAACTTATCTTTGGTGATAATTTCAAATCACTGCATGCAGAACTGTGGAGTTGTTTATCCTGCATATCATGATCTGAATAAGCTCAATCCAGACTCTAATTCCACATTAGCAATTTACATAATCACTCATGGAGAATAATGATGATGAAATGAATTTTTATATATTATTTTACATGATATTGAATTTCATTCTACCCTATTTTTAACTATATGTTAGCTGATATTAATAATCTATATAACCCAACTATAAAATAACTACCAACCATATATATTATGACTAAATCTGATCAGATAGCACAAAACTGAAGTTGATGTGACTCTTTGTGAGGTTTTTTCATATTAATATAGATTTACAACCAGAAAAAGCAGGTTTGGTTTTATATTCAGTAATTTACCAACTTTCAGACATTTTGGTTTTCTCATCAGTAAATGGCTATTTAACAGTTATATTGCAGGTCTCTAATGATAATTTGAGATGGTATATTATAAAATGGCCAACATAATTCTGCCTGTTTTGGTCATATAAAAATGATTTGCAAAATATACAAAGAACTCAAGAAGTTAGTCACCAAAACACCAAATAATCAAATTAAAAAGTGGGGTACAGAACTAAACAGAGAATTCTCAATAGAGGAATCTAAAATGGCTCTAAGGCACTTAACAAAGTGATCAACATCCTTAGCCATCAGGGAAATGCAAATCAAAACAACTCTGAGATACCATCTCACTCCTATCAGAATGGCTAAAATCAAAAACACAAATGACAGTTTATACTGGAGAGGATGTGGAGAAAGGGGAACACAACTCCACTGTTGGTGGGAGTGCCAACTCATACAGCCAGTTTAGAAATCAGTATGGTGAATCATGAAAATGGGAATCAGTCTGCCACAAGATCTAGCAATTCCACTCTTAGGCATATACCAAAAAGATGCACATTCATACAGTAAGGATATCTGTTCAACTATGTTCATAGCAGTGTTATTTGTAATAGCCAGAACCTGAAAGCAACCTAGATGCCCTTCAACTGAAAAATGGATAAAGAAAACATGGTATATTTACACAATGAAGTACTACTCAGCAGAAAAAAAAATGGAATCTTAAAATTCACAGGCAAATGGATGGAACTAGAAGAAACCATCCTGAGCAAGGTAACCCAGGCACAAAAAGACAAACATGGTATGTACGCATTCATATATGGATTTTAGACATAGAGCAACGGATTGCCAGCCTACAATCCACACCACCACAGAAGCTAGGAAACAATGAGGATCCTAAGAGAGACACACATGTTCCCCCAGAGAAGGGGAAAGGGACAAGATCTCCTGAGGTAATTGGGAGCATGGTGGAAGGGGAGAGGGAGTTAAGACAAAAAGAAGGGGAGAAAAGGAGAGGAGAGGAGGACAGAAAGGAGTAGGAAGATTGAGTCGGGAAAGAATAGAGGAGAGCAAGAAAAGAGATACCATAATAGAGGTAGCCATTATAGGTTTAAAGAGAAATCTGGCACTAAGGAAATGTTCAGAGATCTACAAGGATGATACCAACTAATAATCTAAGCAATAGTGGAGAGGCTACCTTAAATGCCCTTCACCAATAATGAGATTGATTACTACCTCAATTGCCATCCTAGAGCCTTCATCCAGTAGCTAATAGAAGCAGAAGCAGATAACCAAAACTAAACACTGAGCCACACTCCTGGAATCCAGTTGCAGAGAGGGAGGAGTAATGAGCAAAGGGGTAAAGATCAGGCTGGAGAAACCCACAGAAACAGCTGACCTGAACAAGGGGGAGATCACGGACTCCAGACTGATAACTGGGAAACCAATATAGGACTGACCCAGACCCTCTGAATGTGGGTGTCATTTAGGAGGTCTTGGAAATCTATGGTGCCTCTATTATTTATCCCTAGTATATAAATGGACTTTGGGAGCCCAATCCACATAGAAGGATACTCTCTCAGCCTACACACATGGAGGATTGTTTAGGTCCTTCTCCAAATGATATGACAGACTTTGAATATCTCCCATGGAAGGTCTCACCATCCCTAGGAAGCAGAAAGGGGATGGGTTGGGTGGTTGGTTGTCAGCAGGGGAGGAGGGAAGGGGATTGACATGTAAAACAAGTTGCTTTCTAATTTAAATAAAAAAGGATTTGCATTCTAAAATTTCATTGGTATTGTGTATCATGAAGATAAGTTGTGTTTTTAAATAACTTAAAGCAGACTAATGAATGATGAATTTAATGGTAGTGCTGTCTGTATCACTTACTGAGGAGGGGTCATTTCTAAAACAGATCTAAATCAGTTCTCATTTCTCCTTGCTTATCCTGTTGTTGTTTTGCTTTATTTGTTTATTATATTTGTGTTCTCTTGTTAGTTATTGTTGTTACACATATGTAGTTGTATCTTGAGTTCATTTATTGTTTCCCATATGTATTTGTGATTGGGACTCACTTTTGTGGATTGGAGAAATTATCAGAGGCTTGTTCCTATAACAGACTAAGTCCCTGTGTCTTAGGTGTCACTAATTGCTCATAACTTTCCATCTAGGGGTGCGCCTTGTTTGATTTTTGAGACTGCGTTTTATTATGTAGATCAAGCTGGTTGTGAACTTGGGGTCCTCTCAGTTGAGTTACTCAGGTGCAGGAATTAAAGTCACACGTGACAATCCTCATTTTACATAAACTGACTTTTCCAACTTTAATTTCTGTTTTGTACTGTAGTGGAAATTTCTTCATTTCCACTGTGAACAGTTAGTCTGAAAGAAAGTTTCAGTCTCTGGGCTATTTTGTCTATCAACATGACCTAAAATTCAAACTCATTAGGCGCCCAATTTTCTTGGCCTTGTTAAATATGTACTATTGTTTTCTTCATTGGGGATTCAGGGGTAGAGAAAAATTATTAAACAGTGCATCTGTTTACCATTGGTCTTAAGCTTAAATGACTAGGAAAGTGTTGTGGAAATAAAGCATTTTGTCCTGTAAAAGAGAATTAATTAAAGACAAACTTCTACAGCTTGCTGTGACCAAGATGAGGTGATAGAAACAGCAGTCCTTAGTGTTGTTAAAACGTTTAGGTTTATCCAGTAAGGAGACACAGACCGCGACTCAACGATCCCACGTGGAGTTTATTGGTGGACGGGGAGGGAAAAGGGGAGCAGAGAGAGAGAGATAAGAGAGAGAGAGAGAGTAAGAGCAAGAGCAGAGGAAGAGGAGTAAGTGAGAGTAAATGGGCAGGGGTCAGTCCCTTAAAGGGGTCCTTTGCACCTGCCTGGCTCTCACGGAACTCTGGGCTGGCCAGAGTGTTGCCTGAGCGCATCTTGCCAGGTAACAGGGCAGGCCAGAGTAATGCCTGAACCTTTCACTTAGGAATTTCAAAGATGAAGTGGAAGGACCATTCCTTAAACAAAGACAAAAACACCTGGCACAAGGAATTGAGGGAGAAACACTTAGTATGCCTAAAGATGAAAGAGACTGTTTGAACCAAAGTGTGGGAGAAGAGGTTAAAAACAAATAAACACCTGATATATATTCCACAATTGATAGAAATGTGTGAAAGGGACTTAAACAGGAAGTGTATCGTATAACTATTGTGTTCAAATGCCTATTTTTCCTTCCATTTCCTATAGACAGCAGTAATCCCTAACTTTATAATCCTCCTGCAAACATCAATATACAACATCAAATAGGTACCAGTTGGCCTCTTTGAAGGGAGAATGAAATGAGTTGCCAAAGCAAAATGGTCCTGTTCCACTAGTGGCAGCTGCAATCATAGGCTATAGTAATGGCTCTGACACTGGCAAACCCACTCTCACAGGACCACTAGAAAGCCTAGAGGGAGTGCCTGGCACTGGTTACATTGGGCTGTCAGAGAGTAAGAAAGACACACTTCAAAAGAGACAGCTAGAGAAAGATACCCATAAACACACACATATGCTTCTTTGTCAAATCTCAAGTGTTCATAGGTGGATTAATATCAGGGTCTTCAATTCCATTGATCCATACATCTGTTTTTATGCCAATACAAAGATGTTTTTATTACTATAGCTGTATAGTAGAGCTTGAACTGAGAGATGGTGATGCCTCTGGAAGTTCCTTTATTGTACAGGATTGTTTTGGCTATCCAGGGTTTTTTGCTTTTCCATATGAAGTTGAGTATTGTCCTTTTGAGTCTGTGAAAAATTGCGTTGGGATTTTGATGGGGATTGCATTGAATCTGTAGATTGTTTTTGGTAAGATTGTCATTTTTACTGTGTTGATCCTACCTATCTAAGATCATAGGAGATCTTTCCATTTTCTGATATCTTATTCAATTTTGATTGTTGGGGTGTCCTGGCTGTGAAACCAGGACCTATCCTGGGTGTATGAACTTGCATTTTGGAGCCCATTCCCTATGGATATACCTAGTATAGCCTTGCTTAGCCTTAATAATGGGGAGAGGGGCCTGAACCTGCATCTACTTGGTACTCAAGACTTTGT